GCGAACCATGACTTTGTATAAAAGGACTTTAGCCTCAGTTGTGTACATTTTTCGATGTAACAAGCCTGTGAGTCTTCGGCATTTAGAAACAAGTGTTTTTGCATACTGACTGAATGTTAAGTTCTGTGAGTAGGTAACTCCCATGTCAGCGCTAACCAAACAGCTGGTGGGGATGTTAACCCTTCTGAACCCGGACCACAAATGTCGGCTCCGTATCGGAAAGAAAACAGATATAGGCCAGTGCACACGGAATTTTTAAACACATCCAATGCTTGTACAATCATAGGCCAAATGAGAACTCCTACCCAAGTCTCCAACCTACCTAAGCCTAGAACTACCTCATCCTATAGTGAATCCAATAAAATAACTCATTATTCACTAAAAGAAATGGATACTAACTCGATAGACATAGGCAAACATTGGACCCAAACCAATTGCAACATAGAGTTGTTATGGCACGAAGAAACAGTGGAAGTCAATTCACACTTGAGCCTGACTGACGAAATTAAACACTTCAACTCTCAACTCTACTTAATACTTATTAATGCTAGATCTATCCTTAAAAAACTACCGATGCTCAGGGCACACACACTGGTATACAAACCCCCAATAATTATTATTACCGAATCCTGGTGTCACTCCAATATACCAGAGGAAGAGATAAGCTTCGATGGGTACACACGCTTTCGATGTGATAGGAAGAGTGGTAGGGGAGGAGGCTGCCTAATGTACTTCCAGAACACACTCACTGTGTTACAGCTAGAAAATAGGGAACTGAATGACATGCATGATACCCTATGGGTCAACGTACACTTCAAAAGTGCTAAGAGCACCTGGCACCTTTAGTGATTACGAGACACAACTTATAAATGTACTGGAGCAAGTATCCACTCTTCCATACGAGCATAAGATCATATGTGGAGACTTCAACCCACCCGAAATCGACTGGAATCTATTAACAGGGCTAACTAAATATGACAAGCTCTTAGGTACACTGGACATTTTCGGCTGGAAACAATCTGTCACTATCCCTACAAGAGGTGACACTGTACTAGGCTTAATATTCTGTCACGATATAAGTCCCCTCTCAATCTTAGTGGGTTCTAAGTTTTCAGGTAGTGACCACAAAACAGTAATGTATGCTCTGCCACTTCCACTGAATAGCAATGCAGCTCATACCTCCACTTCACAACAAGTACTATATAGGAACTATAGTAAGGCAAACTGGGCCTTAGTAGAATCAGTGCTAAGATCCTCCGAATGGGGCGAATACTTCACTACTGGTGACCTCTCGAGAGCTCTGAGCATCTTCTACCATAACTCAAACACATGCTTAGATGCTGCCATTCCACTCCAAACACTTAAGATTTACCCACACAGAAAGTCACTTATAAAACGAAAGGATCGTACGAAACTGAAGAGACTCTCAACAAATTACTTCAAACACCACGACTTTGGCACACAAGGTTTAATACTTAACACCCTTAGTTCCATCTCACAAGCTCGACATTTGCGTATGAGAAACGAAGAACGCATCGCAATAGTCAGTCCTGCTAGAGTGTGTGCTCTCACAGAAATCTTAAAGAAGCTAATAAACCGCAAAAATCACAGCATTTCTCTCCTGATAGGCAAAGGTAGGCCATGCACTATTTCTGCAGACATGTGTGAATTATTCAACAAAAATTTTGCGGTAAATACCTTAAGCCCACAGTCCAGTTACTCGATATACACCCTGCTACTAATATGTCACAAACTCCATCTTTACTCATACCAAAACAAATTAGTACCGTTGAATTCACTTATGCTAACATTAACCAAACTATAAGAACTCTCAAAAGCTCAAAGGGTTTCGGTACTGACGGTATATCATCCTATTTTTATAAATATGGTGGCCCTGACATTCCCTTACTACTGCTTAAAATATTCACAATGTCCCTGGAAACCCAAACTTACCCTGATATATGGAAAACAACATTTATTATGCCTAAACACAAATCTGACTCGAAAACAGAAGTCAGCAACTATAGGCCAATCAATATCACACCTATCGCATCTAGAGTTATGGAGAAACTAGTTAAAGATAACCTAATCAAGCATATGCTTGGCTGCAATAGTAGAGGTCCGAACCAACATGCATTCCTTAAATCCAGATCTTGTTTAACATGCCACTTAGACTTCTTTAACTTTGTGACCGGCAGTTGTGACAGACGAAAACTAGTACTTGTCATTTACTTTGACATTTCTAAGGCATTTGACCGTGTCGACCATTTACTGCTAGTACATAAGCTGAAATCCCTAGGAATACGTGACCGATTATTAGGATGGCTTAAATCATTCCTTAACAACAGGTCCCAAATAGTTTAACTCGGGTCTGTAACTTCAAAACCTGGCCTAATCACCTCTGATGTAGTACAAAGTAGTGTCATTGGGCCCCTCCTATTTACACTACATATCAACGACATATGCGCTTGCTTCTCACATAGGAAACCATTCATCTTTGCAGATGACCTAAAAGTAGCTTATACATTTCAATCTGATGACCTAGGGTACTTCCAGAATGTTGTGCAGAAAGAATTAAATAAAGTGACTGCTTGGTCGTCTTTATGGAACCTCCAATTTAACCTCAAAAATTTGGCTGGATCTGCTTCGGTGCACCCTCAATCGACATGAAATTAACGCTTCAATCTGCTAACCTAACCAAACTCCAAAGTGTTGTTGACCTAGGTCTGAGGTACTCGAGTAACCTAACATTTTCTGAGCAAGTGGCATCACAGACTCAAAAGTCAAGGATGCTCTTAGGATGCATACTCAGGAACTTTCACGACAATGAAGCAAAGCTCATTCTGTACAAAACCTGCGTGAGGCCACTACCAGAATACTGTCCATTTATTATAAGCAGCACTCGCACACGTGACAAACTAAGGATGGAAAGTATCAAACGATATTTTACCTCCAAACTACTTGGCTACGATTGTAAAATGGACTACATCGAATGGTGCATGATCCTAAAACTTGACCCACTTTGGACAAGACGACTTATTATAAACCTATATATGTCCAAACCAAGTTCACTTTTAACGGTTTGAAAAAATTTGGGCATTGGGTATATGATATTCATTATAATAAAGGTTTTTGTATTTCCCAATGAATGAAAAACAAAACGATATTGCTTTTACTGTTTCGCTATTTAATGCTAATAGCTTTATCAAAGTATTATTAAGCCGGAATTTACAAAATCTCAGCGTATATATTTGATAAGTGTATAAGGTTATAAAAGCAACGTATGTTTACACAATGAAAGTGCTTATCACATTCGTGTTGGTTTTGTCACTTGATGGGGGGAGGGAGAAATCCTGTTGAACTACAAAGAATTGAAAAATCCTCAGCCATAGGTCTACATGCTATAGAATCAGGTTACAAAATTGATTTTGA